GAGGGAAGAAGATGAAAGGGAAGGAGGAAAGGAAGGAAGAAAGATAAGGAAGGAAAGAAGGAAGGAAGGAGGGAAGAAGATGAAGGAGGGAAGGAAGGAAGATGAGGAAGGAAGGAAGGAAGGAGGGAGTGAGGGAAGATGAAAGAGGGAAGGAAGGAAGGAAAGAAGGAAAGAAGGAAGGAACAGGAGGGAAGAAGATGAAGGAGGGAAGGAAGGAAGGAAGATGAAGGAAGGAAGAAGGAAGGAAGGAGGGAGTGAGGGAAGATGAAAGGGAGGGAAGGAAGGAAGGAAAATAAGGAAAGAAGGAAGGAAGAGGAGGGAAGAAGATGAAGGAGGGAAGGAAGGAAGGAAGATGAAGGAAGGAAGAAGGAAGGAAGGAGGGAGTGAGGGAAGATGAAAGGGAGGGAAGGAAGGAAAATAAGGAAAGAAGGAAGGAAGAGGAGGGAAGAAGATGAAGGAGGGAGGGAAGGAAGGAAGATAAGGAAGGAAAGAAGGAAGGAGGGGAAGGGAAGATGAAAGGGAGGGAGAGAAAGAAAAAAAGAAAGAGGAGAAAAGGAAAGGGAGGAAGGGAGAGAGAGAGGAAGGAACAAAGGGAGGAAGGAAGGAAGGGGAGGAGAAGGTGGAGGAGGAGGAGGAGAAGGAGAAGGAGAAGGGAGCAGGAGAAGGAGAAGGAGCTGCTTTGATGCCCCAGGGACCCAAGGTGGGTGAAGCCCCGATATCCTCCTGGCTGACTCTCTCACCTCCAGCAGGTAGTCGGAGGCATCATGCAGGGCCATGATGAGGGTCCCGGCCCGGATATAGTTGGTGAACCAGGAGAAACTCATCAGGACGATGGTGGCCACGTGATGGATCACCTGCTCCTTGAAATCCTGTCCCCAAATGGAAGGAAAGGAAGAGATGGAGGCGGAAGGGGAGACCCTGACCCAACGGGGGAGCTGGGAAGAGACACTTTTGGGGGGGAGGGGGAGAATCCCCTCTTCCTCCTCTCTAGGAAACCATCTCTTCTGCTCAGAAGTCATCAGAGGGGCACAATCCAAACTCAGGATCCCAACCTGCACTCTTCCCCCCCATCAACAAACCTTCCGGAGGTAAAAATCTCTCCTTTTTGACCCCTAAAATCTGTTTTTCCACCCTGCAAGGCTTCCCCCCCCGTACCCCCCCCCCAGCCAGCTCACCTTCCGCTTCACGTCTGAGGCGATGCTGAACAAGAGCGACAAATAAAACGACAGCTCGGTCATGTAATACCAGTACTGGGAAGGAAGCAAGGCCTGCCAGAAAGACACGAGTTTTGTTCTTCTTTGTAAATCCAAAGGGGGGGGGGAGAAAAATATCCCAAAAATAATAGGTGCATAATAACGTTCCGGAGGACAGCCACTGCCCCCCCCCCTTTTTTTTTGGCCTTGGGTGCAAAATCCTCTAGATTTTTTTGACAGGGCTGCAAATACGGGAAGAAGGATTTAGCGTCCCCTTTCTTTACAATGTCGATTTTCCCGGATTTGGGTTTACACTTTTATCCTTAAAAAAATGCACGCGACGTTTTCAGAAGAAATTCTTGCTGAAAAATGCCCTCACCTGATAGGGGTAGCCGTCCCAAACTTCTTCCAGGTTGTAAAACCAAGGTTTCTGCAGCACACAGACACACAGAGAGAGACACACACAAAAAAAAGAGACAAGCCCATTAGAAGGAAGGAACCGGGGAATTACGGAGAGTGACAAATTAAGAGAGGTGTTTTTAAGTCCTTCTGACTCCGTACTCACATCCACGATCACAGCCATGCCAGCAATGAAAGCAATAAGGTAAAACGTGAATCTCCAACTGAAAAAAAGGAAGCACAAAGTGGAGTTGTGGTTCGGCTGTTGTTTCTCTCCCTGAGCAGATTTTATTTCAAGAGCGTCAAGACTGCCCCAGGCCATGTGCAGAGTGCCTGGCTCTGGCTGGTAGGGGGGGGGCTCAATCTGCGTCCTACACCTATCAGGGGTCTTTCAGAGTTTTGTTTTGTTTTTTTGGTTCCAATTCAAATCAAAAGTTGAGTTTCCATTTAGCGGCGGGCCAATTTTATTTTATGAGAATTGTTAAACACAATCTGCAATTTGCTAGTCAGTGCCCCCCCCCCCAATCTTCTAGGTTTCTCCTACATCTGAGTTTTGGGCATCCTTGCTGAATCTACCCTGTTTTATCTTGTTTTGCAAACTCTGATTTTCTTGACCTCTCCCCCCCTTCCCTCTTTGTGCAAAATCATTTTCTCCACAGATTACGAGCGTGTCGGATTTTGAGCCTCGTTTAAAAATAAACCAGCATCTGGAGATGAGGAGGGGGGGGGAAAAATCAAAGCCTCCCCCCCCGCCCCAAGTATGGAACATTTCCCGCAGAAAAACTGAGCTTTGATCCCCGCAGCGAGAAAGCCAGAAGGTCAGGGAAGAAACAGGTAACTCGTTCCTGGCCGTAGTTTTTCTCGAGGCATCGAAATAAAACTTTTCCCATCATGCACGGGGGGGCTACCTGGATTCCCGGAATTTCTTGAGTAAACTGGGGCGATCCTGGTTTCGTCGTCGCCGGAACCAGCGTTCCACCTGCCGCGGGGTGCAGCCGCTTTGTTTAGACAGCGCCTCGACCGCCGCCTGCCGGGAGAAAGAAGACGTCGGAGAAGTCAGTCGCGTGGGACGTTGTGCAGGCGGGCGACAATTCTGGCCACTTCCCCTTCACACCCCGGAAGCTGGTCTCCTGCTTTTTCCCCCCTCTTTCAGGCTCCGATTCTGCAACCTGCCGGCTGAATTTGGGAGCGCTTCCCTGCCGAGGGCCGCTTGGCCCCCTTACCTGTTTGGGATGTTTGCAGGACGTGGAGTAGAATTTCTCTAGCACCGGATTGGGGCTGGCTTTTAATCGGGTTTTTTCTTTGACGTTCAAGAGCCCAGCCAGAGGGGTGGCGATGTAGCTGAAGGAGAAAGGAAAAAAGAGTGAAAAAAAAATGGAAGGAAGGAAGGAGAGAGAGAGAAAGAAAGACAGAAAGAAAAGAAAGGAACAAAGAAAGGAAGGATGAAGGAAAGAAGAAAAAGAAAGAAAAAAAGAAAGAGAGAAAAAAAGAAAGAAAGAAAGAGAAAGAAAGAAAGAAAGAAAGAAAGAAAGAAAGAAAGAAAGAAAGAAAGAAAAAAAAGGAAGGAAGGAAGGAAGGAAGGAAGAAAAAGAAAGAAAGGGAAAGAAAAAGAGGAAGGAAGGAAGGAAGAAAAAGAAAGAAAAAAAGGAAGGAAGGAAGGAAGGAAGAAAAAGAAAAAGAAAGAGAGGAAGGAAGGAAGAGAGAAAAAAGAAAAAGAAAAAAGAAAGAAAAAGAAAGAAAGAAAAAAGAAAGAAAGAAGAGAGAAAGGAAGGAAGGAAGGAAGAAAGAAAGAGAGGAAGGAAGGAAGGAAGGAAGGAAGGAAGGAAGGAAGGAAGGAAGGAAGGAAGGAAGGAAAGAAAGAAAGAAAGAAAGAAAGAAAGAAAATCTGCCATCTTTCTCCTCGGTGGTCCAGGGCTACTCACATTTCGAAGAAGTGCCTGACGATGAGGAAGACGAAGCTCAGAGGAATGGTGTAGTAGAGGTGAGCGGCTTTGCTGTAGACTTGGTCATCCAGGCCCTGGACATCATCCCAGGTCAGGTTGGCCGGCAACCAAAGCCGGTCCCACCAGAAGTAGTTGTACAAGGTCTGAAACATCCTGCAGATGGATGGAGAGAAGCCGTGGTGAAGGTGAGGGAGGAAGGAACAGAGGGAAGGAAGAGAAGATGCACGGAAGGAAGGAAGGAAGGAAGGAAGGAAGGAAGGAAGGAAGGAAGGAAGATGAAAGAGGAAAATGGATGGAAGGAAGGGAGGGAGGGAGGAAGGAAGATGAGAAGAAGGAAGAGATGGATGGATGGATGGATGGAGGGAACTCTTCAATCCCCTCGCCAATTCCCAGATGGGAGACCACCAAGATATCCCCACCCACCCACCCACTCCATTTCAGAATGAAGGCCTGGGCAATTCACAGCTGCCTCCCTACACTCTCCTGGCCCAAGCCGAGTTCGAGACAGACCCCCAATTCTTTCCACAATGCAGCCATTTCACCTTCCATCAAAATCCAGATTAGCCTCTAACAGGAGAGGGATGCAGGCCTCAGCCACCCTCTCTCGCCTGGGCTGTCCTGGATACTACGTTTC